TTCTGCTTTTTTTTTTGAGAGAGATTTTTGCTATAGGGCACGTGCGCTCGCCAGACAGACAGAGAGAGACAGAGAGACGGAAAGCGAGAAATCACCCCCCAGGGGGGATGGTCACGCCGCAATCCCTTCTCCTCCATTCTCCTCTCGGGATCCTGGGCATGCACGCACACATGCCTGGCGTGAGTTTTAAGCCACCGGGTCCAGGACATGAACCGCAGTCGACTACGTGGGAGTCCAGCGACATAGCCATTACGCTAACTGCTGGTTCCCCAGGTGGGTTCTGCTTTTTACTGCAACAGCAACTGCCTAACTAATCAGGTCCTACTCTTTTTTTTTTTTTAAAGAATTATTTAATTTTATTTACTCATTCATTCATTCATTCATTTTAATTTGACCAGAGAGAGAGAAAGTGAGAAAGCAAGCCACTTGGTCCAGGACTTGAACCATGGTAGGCCATGTGGGAGTGTCCAGCGCCTTAACTGCCATGCCACCTAATGGCACCAGCAGATCCTACTCTTACGTCATCGTGATATGTGCTATAATCTGACAAAGACTAAAATAACCATCACCAAAGCTGTTTCATACAGTCAAAGATGTAGACATGAACATTAATGGCTTAAAATAGTGAAAATTGAGTCACCCTGTGGCCTCGTGGTTAAGGGAGCCGGGTCCCAGATGGTTTACCTCACTGTTTAGATCTCAGCCCTGCAGATTGAAAAACACTCTGGGCATGTGTATCTGTGTACCCCAAATCCCAACAGGCTGGAGAAAAGATTATAATGTGACACCATGCCTCACTGTGGGGATACTTTCTCCCTCTTCCTCTTTCACTCTCTGCTTCTCTCTCTCTGACAAGTGCACATGCCCTCTGGAAAATAAACTTGAAAAACAAAAATAGGGCCAGCAAGAGGCATCGTGATTGAAGTGCTGGATCCCAAATGGCTGACCCCAAGCTTCGAGTCCTGGACCCAGTGGCTTGAGAGACATCCTGAGCACATGTGCATGCATGCCCAAAATCCAAAGAAGAGGGAGAGAGAGAGGAGAGGGGATTGTGGCATAACCATCCCCTTGGGTGGTACTTTCCCACTTCCTCCCTCTCTTTCTCTCTCTCTCTCTCTCTCCCTGCCTCTCTCCGGTGAGTGCATGTGCCCTGTGGCAAAATTTACGAAATAGTAAGCAATAATAGTGAAAACTACAATTAAAGGCTGTAATTTCACAGTGAATATTCAAGGTATTTCAGTCCATGAGAAAGTATGAACATACTCTACCTAAAGAAATGCATCTCTTTGATGATCTAAAGCTAAGTTACAGCATTAAATATTTTATCTCTTTTCCTAGACTCAGCAACATTTCAGAAAAGATTTAGATGAGTTATTTCCTTTTCTTTTTTTCTTTAAGATTTTTTGCCATAGGGCATGTGCTCTTGGTTGAGAGACAGAGAGAGAGACAAGAGATGAGAGATGGTGAGAGGGAAAGTGAGAAATCACCCACCAGGGTGGATAGCCACACTGGATTCCTTCACACACACACACACACACACACACACACACACACACACACACACACGTGCCTGGCATGATTTTCAAGCCACCAGGTCCAGGACTGAAACTGGTTGGGTATGTGCGAGTCCAGTGCCTTAACCACCATACCTACTGTCCCCCCAAGTTATTTTCTTTTTAAAGGAAGCTTGAATTTTCACTCTATGTTTCTTTTGCAAACATCCCCCTATAGAAAGCAGAAGAAATCTGTCATCGACCACTGAAATAAGGAAGGACCTTCCAGATCCTTTTTCAAAATAACGATGATGTTTTCTCGACACAATTATTTGCAGATTAAAATTCATGAATCCAGATTTTACTGAGCTAATTTCTCCAATATCTTGAGACTTTGGATTTCTTTTCCAGAAATAGCACATAGATATTACAGTCCTGGAACACTTTTACATGTGCATTACTTTCCCCTCAAGGGACCTTAACTGGGAAACCTTAAGAGCATTTTATACACGTTTGTAACATAGAGGTCAACTGACTAACCCAGTCCAAGGTCCTCTCCAAGTTTTGGCAAACTTCTAGAAGGATTAGGTCCTCATGGTCCCAGTTTCTGCTTCCATAATAATAGTTTTGATTATAGTTTTGGGTTTTTTTTTTTCACCCACACTAGACAAACTCTCCCTGTATGTACAGCTTTGATCCAAACATGGTGTTTGCTGAGATTTTTGTAGAATGCATTCATAAATGGTGTGAATGTGTAGCAGATTTAACTAAAGGTTTCAGAAATTTTATTGAAAAGTATTTGTAGCAAAACAGAAATGACTGTATACTCCAGATATGTTGCTTGACCAATTTTTCCCCATCGTGTCTAGACCCTCTTTGCCCTGCTGAGGCCCTGCCTCCTGCTTCCAGGCCTGCTCTTCCCAAGGCAGAACACGACAATAGTTCAGCATCTCATTCTACCTTGGCTTCATCTGACCCTCCTCTCAGTGACTCACCTTCTTCTGTGTCCCTCTCCTCCTCACTCCCACACTGACTTAAATATTTTTCTTAACATAAATGATTTCATTCTCAGAAGAATTTTCATACCAATTTGTAGATTAACCTCTTCTTACCTTGGTGGGTTTTGGATCAGGTTCTCTTTTCCATTTTGCTTTTTCATTTCTCTCCCCTCTCCTCCAGTTTCTTTCCCCTCCTTTTCTCCCTCCTCCTGTACAAACATACCTTGTAGCTCTGTTCTCAGTCCCTTTTCCTCCAAAGGCAGTAAGAGGACTAGACTCCCTGCCATCTGTGACGCGTGTGCATAGGAGCTGCTGGTGATGATCAGAATCCCAGGGTTTTGTCAGACTGGAAATGACTGGGGACTTTCTTCCTGCCTGCACCCCAAACACTCTCCCTTCATCTGTACCTGCAGCCTGGCCATTTGCAATTTGTTTCACACACTAATCTTTAAATTCCTGGATAAAGATAAGAAGAAGTGAAATACAGAATTAACTAGGCAAACTTCTCAAAAGACCAGAAAAGATCAAACGCATCCACGTTCTTACAGGCAGCTGTGCAGTAAGAACACCCTGAATGCTACTCCCTTTTTAGGAAGTCGGTCTGCCTTATTTGTTTCTGTCTTCTTTTTTTTTTTTTTTTTTGAGTATACCTTTGAACAAAGCTATCTGTCCAGTTTTTCCTTATATTAATGTTCAGAAACTCTGTTTCTACTAAACATGAGGAGTAACTTATTTCTTCTCTTCTGTAGCTGTTCTACTGCTAAAATCTTCATAATCTTTATGATTGGACTCCTTAGCCTGATTTCCTTATCACCTTTCTGGACTGGACAGCCTGCTCCCACATGCTTGCGTCCTTCTGCACGGAGCTGCTCCTGCTAGCTTCTTAGGCTGTGCTCCCCCGGCAACATGTGCAGCTACTGTTCCAAATTCCAGTAGGTTTTTCTACTTGGTGCTCATTTCGGAGCGCTTAACAGCTTTTGGAAACTAGATCAGTATCTTTGAGCTCCTGGATTCGAGTAGGCACCTTTCAAAAACTAGATCTTCATGAACGCTGAAAGAGAAACATGAAATCAGAAGACCGAGAGGAAGCTTTAGACATAACCTGTGTATTATCCTCCTAGCCTGGACTGTTCTCTCTGCGGACATACTGCAAAAGCTTGGTGAAATGAGAATGTGTGGAATGGAGGGAGAACTGAGGCTGGAAGCAGAGCAGGTTTAAATGCCTTCTGTTGCCCAGCTATGTGAACTTGTGCCCATCATTGAAGTTTTCTGAGCCTTGGTCGTCTTCTGTAGAGTGGGGAGCACGTGACCTACCTCCCAGCATGCAAACCCAAGCCAATCGGGTGCTTTGTCCAAAATATAAAAAGGCACCAGTGTGGACATAGCCCCAGATGCACACAGCTGAATGATGGAAGCACAAGCTAGATTTCTGCCCTCACTTGCCCTGAGTGTGCACCCTGGTGCAGCGCACAGCCTGAATCCTGTACTGTAGTCAAGCTCCTGAGTTCTACCATCTTCTACCATTAGGAAGGAGCACACCTGGGAGAGGAGCTGGGCAGAGGAAAATACCAAGCAAAAAGTACCTGCCTTTTTACCTTCTTACTCAGCCTTCCTTAACTCTGATTATTCTTTATTTTCACACCATTAATGATATTATACTAATGCATTAGCACAAGGGTGTTGCTCTAGGAAGTGTGCTCAAAGACGCACATTCCTTTTCCCTGCTGGCCTCTGGCCCTCTCCCTCTTTCTACTTCACAGATTTTTGGAACTTTGAATAAGACAATGATGGATGGGAAAGCCTCTGGACCATGATCCTAAAGACTGGATTTCTTAGGTGTTTCATTTTATAGTCTTCTAAGACACTCTGGCATTCATCTAGGCTTTTTCCTACTCTTTTCTATTTCAGAGGTTTCCAAAGCAACCCCAAGAAATATGCAAGATGATCCATCGAGGAGTGTGATAAAAAGCTTAGTAAAATTCCCATTCTATTAAACCTATTTATATTAATCTGTACTTAAAGTCCAGGATATGAATTGAAAGAAAATGGAAAACAATAAAGGCGGAAATTTTATCCACATTTCCTCCTGCCAATTCTTTTACTTTTTATATGCAAATAATATAACCTCAGGGACTATCCAATTCAAGATGGAGTCTACTCTTGGGATGTACCTCCCAGACCACTGACTGATTTTTCCAGGCTCCAGTGAGAAAGGTGCAAATGTTCAAAAGCACATGAATGTTCTCTAAATATTTATTTTGCTGTGAATTTGTTCCATGTCCTGACGGATCACTATTTTATATCATAACTTAGACACAACGAACAAAGCTGATATTTCATTTCTCCAACATGTGGGCTGAGAATAGAATCTTGGTGCTGGAATTGAACATTGTATTCTCCAGGCAGAGGAAATGGACATTTATTGGATAGTATTGCTGCTTCCTTCGCACTAATAATATTATGAAGGCTCTTTGAGTAATATAATTTGAAAATATTATTTCTGTTTCAGGTCATGCAAGACAAGATCATCTGCCTTCCGAAAAGAGTGCAGCCTGCTCAGAACCACTCTTCCATTTCCAATATCTCTCAAACCATTGCCAGTACCACTCCACTGCCCCCACCTAAACCATCCCCTACTAACCCCGCCACTGTGGAAATGAAAGGACTGAAAACAGATCTGGACCTTCAGCAGTACAGCTTTATAAACCAGATGTGCTATGAGCGAGCCCTCCACTGGTATGCCAAGTATTTCCCTTACCTTGTCCTCATCCATACCCTGGTCTTCATGCTCTGCAGTAACTTTTGGTTCAAATTCCCTGGCTCCAGCTCCAAGATAGAACACTTCATCTCTATCCTGGGGAAGTGTTTCGACTCTCCCTGGACCACAAGAGCTTTATCTGAAGTGTCTGGGGAGGACTCGGAAGAAAAGGACAACAGGAAGAACAACATGAACAGGTCCAACACCATCCAGTCTGGTCCAGAAGGCAGTCTGGTCAACTCTCAATCGTTAAAATCAATTCCTGAAAAGTTTGTGGTTGATAAATCCACTGCAGGGGCTCTGGATAAAAAGGAAGGCGAGCAAGCGAAGGCCTTGTTTGAGAAAGTGAAGAAGTTCAGGCTACACGTGGAAGAAGGAGATATACTTTATGCCATGTACGTTCGCCAGACTGTACTTAAGGTTATCAAATTCCTAATCATCATTGCTTATAATAGCGCTCTGGTTTCCAAGGTCCAGTTTACAGTGGACTGTAATGTTGACATTCAGGACATGACTGGATATAAAAACTTTTCTTGCAATCATACCATGGCACACTTGTTCTCAAAGCTCTCCTTCTGCTACCTGTGCTTTGTAAGTATCTATGGCTTGACGTGCCTTTATACCTTGTACTGGCTGTTCTACCGTTCTCTAAGGGAGTACTCTTTTGAATATGTCCGGCAGGAGACTGGAATTGATGATATCCCAGACGTGAAGAATGACTTTGCTTTTATGCTTCATATGATAGATCAATATGACCCTCTCTATTCCAAGAGATTTGCAGTCTTCCTGTCTGAGGTCAGCGAAAACAAATTAAAGCAGCTGAACTTAAACAATGAGTGGACTCCCGATAAACTGAGGCAAAAGCTACAGACGAATGCCCATAATCGGCTGGAATTGCCACTTATCATGCTGTCTGGCCTTCCAGACACGGTTTTTGAAATCACAGAGTTGCAGTCTCTAAAACTGGAAATCATTAAGAACGTGATGATCCCAGCTACCATCGCGCAGCTCGACAACCTCCAAGAGCTCTCTCTACACCAGTGCTCTGTCAAAATCCACAGCGCGGCGCTCTCCTTCCTGAAGGAAAACCTCAAGGTCTTGAGCGTCAAGTTTGATGACATGAGAGAGCTGCCCCCCTGGATGTATGGCCTCCGGAATCTGGAAGAGCTCTACTTGGTCGGCTCTCTAAGTCATGATATTTCCAAAAATGTCACCCTTGAGTCTCTGCGGGATCTCAAAAGCCTTAAAATTCTCTCTATCAAAAGCAACGTGTCTAAAATCCCTCAGGCAGTGGTCGATGTTTCCAGCCACCTCCAGAAGATGTGCATACATAACGACGGCACCAAGCTGGTGATGCTCAACAACCTGAAGAAGATGACCAACCTGACGGAGCTGGAGCTGGTGCACTGTGACCTGGAGCGCATCCCCCATGCGGTGTTCAGCCTGCTCAGCCTCCAGGAGCTGGACTTGAAGGAGAATAACCTGAAGTCGATAGAAGAAATCGTTAGCTTTCAACACTTGAGAAAGCTGACAGTGCTAAAACTGTGGCATAACAGTATCACCTATATCCCAGAGCACATAAAGAAACTCACCAGCCTGGAACGTCTGTCCTTCAGTCACAATAAAATCGAGGTGCTGCCTTCCCACCTCTTCCTATGCAACAAAATCCGATACTTGGACTTATCCTACAACGACATTCGATTCATCCCACCTGAAATCGGAGTTCTACAAAGTTTACAATATTTTTCCATCACTTGTAACAAAGTAGAAAGCCTTCCAGATGAACTCTACTTCTGCAAGAAACTTAAAACTCTGAAGATTGGGAAAAACAGCCTCTCAGTGCTTTCACCGAAAATTGGAAATTTACTCTTTCTTTCCTATTTAGACGTTAAAGGCAATCACTTTGAAATCCTTCCTCCTGAACTGGGTGACTGCCGGGCTCTGAAACGAGCTGGGCTAGTCGTGGAAGACGCTCTGTTTGAAACTCTGCCTTCTGACATCCGGGAGCAAATGAAAGCAGAATAACTTATTTTTCATTGAAGTTTGACTGAAACACGCTTCTACCAAATACAGTATAAATACTTAGGTAGTCTTGATGCCTTTCCTATTTTATTTTTATTTTTTTTCACACACAAAAAAATGTACACAAAATTAAGTAAGGAGTATGTATTTTTAATAAAAATTTAATTGTATTTTTTCAATATTAGATTTTAAAGTTTCATTTGTCTTGGAACCTAGTGTATCTAATGTTGTTTTATACCGACAGAAGCAGATGGCTCCATCTGATTTTTGTTTGTTTGGGTTTTTTATGTTTGTTTGGTTTGGTTTATTCTTATGAAAGGGAGAGAATCATAAGTTGCATGCTTTTTGGCATTTTTAAATGGATGAAGAGAGTCTACCAAGGTGAGTTTTAGCTTGTTTACACCTAAATGGGGTCTTGTTTTTGTTTTCATTGTGTATGTACCAGGAATCTGAGTTAATACCAGCTGCCTTCTCCATTGGCCAACTCCTTCATTCTACAGAAAGCTCTCTGGTGTATAAATTCACGTAAGTGCATTGTCACAGAATATTATCTTTCAATTTTCCCTTGCCTCCAACAGAACCCTAAATTATGTATTTACATATACCCAACAATTATAGTTATCTTGAGGCAAGGATTTCGTAAGTGGTGAAGAAAATAATTTTTAGTAGGTGGCATACTTAAGTTGGTCATTTATGATTTCACTTATGTGCACTTTTACCAACATTTTAAAATATTATTTGAAAAGTAAATACACAGCGTGCTTCCTCCACCTTTAATCTTAATACTGCTGTGTAGTACTGGTGGACAACCTTAGGAAAACTAGATTTATTTTTTAATATTCTAATAGGTAATTAAATTTAAAAATCACAGAATAAGAAGCCTGCTTTTGAGTAATTTGATCATCTTTGATATCTTGATATGCAGATGCAACAGGCGGAAAAAACTTCACTACTAAAGTACTCTGTTAAACAGGTAGTGCACCGCAGTCAGGCCGTCCCCTTCCTCCAGCAGTGGGCAGTGGGAAGCTCGGATTCTGCCTGTTGCACACAGAGCAATCCACCTACATACGATATATACATGTTAACCAACTTCCCACAAGCCTGCTCTTGCTGTGAATGCTAGCCATGCAAGCATGGGAACACTGCTGCTCTGAGGCCTAAAATATATATCTTATCTACATTGGCTCTGTTACTTTTTCAAAAGTATGCATAAATTGCTGAGTGGCTGACACTTAACAATAATTTTTGATGGTCAGCAGAACACTTACTTACTTTTTTTTTTTCTTTTTGAGAGGTTTTTGCTATAGGGTGCATGTACTCGCCAGAAAGACAGAGACAGACAGAGAGACAGAAAGCGAGAAATCACCCCCCAGGAGGGATGGCCACACCACAATCCCTTCTCCTCCATTCTCCTCTCGGGATCTTGGGCACACACGCACACATACCCAAAGTGAGTTTAGGCCACCTGGTCAGGGACTCGAACTGTGGTCGACTACATGAGAGTCCAGTAACATGGCCATTATACCAACTACTGGTCTCCTTATTTTTATACTTCAAATCCAGCATAGTATGGGGCCCCGGGCAGAATATTTCACTGACTATTAAGCTGTGTAAATTAAATCCAGTACTACTGATCATGGGAACTCCGTTTTACGTAACAAATTCACACTGACCATTTTCTGAGTCCTAGACTGAACTAAGAGAGGTTTATGATTTCATGATGAAAGAAAGTAGGTAGATGATTTGGAGTTTCGAAATGCTGTTTTTGTAAAAATTACTCCTTGATCCTGATTACTTTGTCCAGTGCTACTCTTGAGTCATGTACAGAAGGCCACTACGGGAACTACAGCTGATACGTGTACCTTCGAGGTGTTTTGGATTTTAAGATACATTGTGGGGTGAAAGATGAGGGAAACAGATGATTTTCATTTGTTTAATATCTCATCACATAGACTAAAGTACTCCATGGTTTCTGCTCAGTGTTCATGTTTTAGAATGGGGATGTCGTATAGCTGATTTATTCAGTCCTGGAATTGAAATAAGAATATGTCTGAAATAGTGACCTGGTTCTATCTTGTATAATAGAATATTCAACCTCAGAATTTGACTGGGATCTTGAGTATGATGATACTCTGAATTTAGAAACATAGCCCTGTTTTAAGGGAACAACTTGGTTGGTAGATTATCCAAGGTTAAGCACGACAATAATACTCTGCTGAAAGGTAAGCTTAGGAAACTGCTGGTAAAACCCTGGGTGCACCATTTTTCTGGATAAAAATGTAGTTATTTTCTATATTACCCTTAAAAAGGGATGTATTCAGGTTAAAAATGGTATTTTATGCTGAAGTCTGTATGTGGTAAAACTAATAATCTCATATTGGTTCAGCACAACAATAATACTGAACCAATACTGACAATAGCTGAACCATTCCTAAATAGTTCACTTTCATCACTTGTAACAATTTGATCCATAGTCCAAAAGAATATGTTTTTTTTTTCCTTAATGATTTTACAGGCTGATCCCCAACCTAAATAATATTCAATAAATTAGTATAGTTCTGTGTCTTTAGGTTTTTCACTAACAAGGAAAATTTGTAGGTATTTCTATTCGATTTTATACAAATTTAAAGTTTCAAATTTAATTTTGAGTCTAAATTTTCTGACTCTGGCCCTTTTTAATATTGCAAGTTCTTGTTCACAGTAAGTAAAAAGCATTCAATTACTATTTAGCCTTTAAATGGGAAACTCAGGTAAATGAACTGGTGACTTTTCTAAAGTTCTTTAACTGATCAACTCAGTGTATAAGTATTCACCTAATCATGTTCTGCATTTTACAAGTGCTCTTGCTAAAAACAACTAGCTCTATTTCTCCAACCTCGTTAGGATTCATGAGAAGCTGCTTGTATCAATATAAAAGCACGGTATGCCTCTTAACTCCTACAGCTGCTCAAAGCTCATGAGGGTGAGCTTTTTGTTAATGGTTAAGCACAGAACAAACAACTGTTTGGTGATGATCTGGTAGAAATGGAGCATATAAGTATATCCCCGTGGAACCCACCTATGAAGACCACTCAGAAAGCTATTGCATCTTCTGCTTACGTGGGGTTTTGTTTCATTTTGTCTTAAACTCAGCGTCTTTAATATAGAGGGCTTTGATGCGGTGAAATCTGTTATTTACACCTGCATATTTTTCTTATTCTTCATGCCCTTTCCTTGCCACTGAATTTCCCAGATATTTTAATGAATTCTAACAATTTACATGGTATTTTGTGCAACTGGCACTGCTTTTTCAAGAAGTCTCAGAAACTTTGCCCATTATGAGTTTCTGGTTCATTCCAAGGTGGCATTCAAGCTATGGTTGTGGAGGGGGTCTTAAACAACCTGGAACCTTCCTTGGGTAACTTGGTATAAGGGAAGTCCAGGTTCTCACACTACCCTCTTTTAGGATTTCTGATATTAAGAAAGAGAAAACAAAATATTTAATGTTATCTCTTGTTAACATTTCCCCCAAAGGGTTTTTGCTATTTACTTTCTAGTATAAAAAAAGTCTGTTCATTGAATAGGTTTTTTTTTTACTGTCTGATATCATACCAACTACCTGATCAATAACAATATCTTTATCAGTAAACATTCATGATCTATCACTATAAAAACTGTCAGCAGTACTTAATAATGAACAGATAAATTTCAATATAATTTCCATTTGCTTTTAGAATCTAAATTAAGATTCAATTAACATTCTCCTATGAATCCTGGATGTGATACTACTATTCACACTTCACATTTCTAGAAGATCTCAATAACTCAGGATGGGGTTCCACGCTAACCTCAAGTTAGCAAAACAGCGGCATTATTAACAAGGATAATAGAAGTCTGTAAGATTGTCTCATCTTTTGTTGTCTATTTTTAAATGCTATATGAAAACTTGGATAGTCTTGAGAAGACCATGATTTTTTGGATTTAGGCCTCAGCGACATGTTTCTGATACACTTTCAAGCTAGCCTTCCAAACTAGGTATCCACTCTTAATTCTATCTTCCTGGTCATTCACCAACAAAGGTAGCATCCTTGAGTTCACTGTGGGGAGACAGAACAGGGTCTCTCCCTTCCCCAGAAGACCTTGAAAAAAGGCATACAACTTCGGACAACTGAATTTCTTGGTTGTGTCAAATAAGAAATTCCTGTGCATGGTTTTTAACGTAGTAAAAATGTACTTCTTTCTTCTGAGTATCTTTCCCTCTCCCACATAATTCTGCCTCTTTAAGGAATAGTTTTATTGGGATTGAAACTCCATGCTTTATGTGTTCATTCAGTTTTCCTTTTGCCACTTGTTTACTCTCACTGTCTGTATGTGTTCAACTTGTGTCAAATGCTGGCAAAACCTCTACAATTGTCACGAAAATGCTTGAAAATTGATTTGTCATAGTGCAAATTCATGATACGATGTCTTAATGTTATTTGGCTCTGTAGTACCTAGGAACAGAAAGTAACTTAAATAAAGTCATTTTTGTAACTCATCATTGAGATTTGTCCCTTTTTTCTTATTTTTAGAAATCGTGTTTCTCTTTTGCATTTTTAAATTCCTACTAAGGTGCCCTGTGCTCTGCAGGAAATAGGCTACATGCTTTCTTTCATTTTTGTCTTGAACTATTTTCTGTAATTGTGACTAATTATTTCCTTCCTTAATTCACTGCACAGCATCTACTCAAGGTGCCCCTGGAGTTTCATTTGGGTAATTAGTGTCTTAATATGTAATCTGGAGTGCAATTTCTGTGCATTTGCCAGATCACATTGTACAACGGGTGTCCAGTTCAGCTTTCACTAAATACTCTTGTGGTAATGACTTTGGTTACTTAAAGGAATTAGAATGGTTCTGCACAGCTAGGAGACCTCGCTTAATTAATTACGTTCACTCCAAACTTAGGGGAGTCCTCTAAAAAAATATCTTATGCATAAAATTGTGATTGGTAACTTTCAAAGCTTAAGTTTTTATTATATTATTTTACTAATAGTTGCCTCTTCAGAGAAAGACTATTGAGATGAGGAAGGATGAGGGGGTAGAGTGGGAGCAGGGATGCGAATTTCTGTATCCAAATCTTAGAAGAGATTGTGTGACACCTCACCTCTGGAGAAATTTCAGAGACAAGGACTGGAAAATACAATAAATTAAAGACACTTAGAGATTTGGGTGCAATTTGTACATAAGGAAAAGACTGTCGGGGACCAGCAGTTAGCGTAATGGCTATGTTGCTGGACTCCCATGTAGTCGACCGCAGTTCGAGTCCCGGACCCGGTGGCTTAAACTCACGCCAGGCACGTGTGCGTGCGTGCCCAAGATCCCGAGAGTAGAATGGAGGAGAAGGGATTGCGGCGTGACCATCCCTCTGGGGGGTGATTTCTCGCTTTCTGTGGAAACCACCTGGCCCGAAAGAAAAAAACCTAAAAAAAAAAAAAAAAAAAAAAGGAAAAGACTGCCGGCTGCCACCCTCCACTGAAAATATGTTTATTGTATTAATTGTAGTGGCTTTACATCATATATAGTATATATGTCAAAATGTGTCAGGTTGCACACACTTTAAAATGTACAACTTTTGTGCACCAATTATACCTCAGTCAACTGGTTTGAAAAGAAAAGTAAGTAGGGCAATATTTTTAAAGGTGGCTTGCCAGTTTTGTTTTTTTTTTAAGTGTCAATTCTTATTACTGGTCTCAGGTAGTACACCTTGGGAAAAGAGACACAAAAAGGACAACATGTAAGTTTGCATTTTATATCTCCTCCATAGTTCTAATAAAAAATAAATCACCTTCTCAGAAGTGATTCTGATATGACAAAGAAATAATAACACTTACTCACTTTGAATTGTGAAGTTCTTTGGGATTCCATGATAATTTTACACAGACTATGTATAATAATTTTTGTTAAAATCACTCTCTAAGTAACATCTGGATGGCTTTAGGCATCTCTCTTAGGCTGATTTAGTCCAAGAATAATTAAAACCAATGCAGAGGGACCAGCAGATGGTGTAATGTTTATGTCAACCATGGTTCGAGTCCCAGACCCAGTGGCTGA